GCTGCGGGAAACAGCCCAGCAGCCAGGCAGAACCAAGGATCAGGTAAGTATGTTTTCTTTATTTGCACTCCTAGATCCTAAACGATAAGTTAACCCTCGCAGTGCATATTGTATGGGCAAAATATCTCCAGTGCAACTATACACATTCCTAGGATTGCTTTGTAAAGTCTAACCCCAGTGTTTCTCCACCATGTGCCACGGCACGCTGCTGTGCTGCCTGAGGCTACCAGGGGTGCCACAGCACAATCCAAACAAATATAGAGAAAAAAACATTTTTGAACAATTGTGAGGAGCCAGCAAGGCGCCAGACTGAATTTTAGCCACATATGATTTTGCTGGAGCCCCTCTAGAGCAGTAAGACTGGGGGTCACAGAGTCTGCAGTGCGCCACTACGGCCCCGCTAAAGTACATATACTCATCATACTCAGAACTGCTGTTCCATCAAATAAGAGGTGGGTGCAACGGGTGTCAATGGGCGGCTCCCGTCCAAGTATACAAGTGAAAAGATGGACACCTGCACTCCAAGGCAAATCCAGTTTGTCTATTTATCATGTACTTGTTGCAAATTCAAACATTAAATACAATGTTTCGTGGTCTCACAGGATCCCCTTCATCAGGCGAACAAGTGATGACACTTCGCTGACACCTCTGGGCACACCTCCACACCGCTGACACCTCTGGGCACACCTCCACACCGCTGACACCTCTGTGCACACCTCCACACCGCTGACACCTCTGGGCACACCTCCACACCGCTGACACCTCTGGGCACACCTCCACACCGCTGACACCTCTGGGCACACCTCCACACCGCTGACACCTCTGGGCACACCTCCACACCGCTGACACCTCTGGGCACACCTCCACACCGCTGACACCTCTGGGCACTCCACCTCCCCCCCGCTGACACCTCGGGGCACATCTCCACAGCGCTGACACCTCAGGGCACATCTCTGCACCGCTGACACCTCAGGGCACATCTCCACACCGCTGACACCTTGGGGCACATCTCCGCACCGCTGACACCTCTGGCACACCTCGGGGCACATCTCCACACCGCTGACACCTCTGGGCACAGCTCCCCACTGCTGACACCTCTGGGCACAACTCCTCAATGCTGACATCTCTGGGCACCGCTGACACCTGGATTATAGGTCATCACCAGGTCTATCCCTATCCTATTTGCCCCCTAAATGGGTGGGTGGGGGGTGCTGTAAGTGTGCACTTTTTTTTGGGGGATGGGGTGGGTTGGGGGTGGAGGGTTGTGTTGGGGGTCAGGGAGTCAGGGGAGGGGCATGTGTTGTGCATTTTGGGTGCTGGTAGTTTATGGTCATTCTGAGGGGGTGGATGGTGGATGGGGGGTCTGCCAGTATATGGTCATTCTTGGTGGTGCTATCTCTGATTTTTTTAACACTTAATAGGCAACTCCTAATGGCACCAGAAGCGTGTTTCATGTGTTTGGCGTGTTCCGTGAACCTGTGTCAAGTGCACATTTATTTCCGAGTTTGGTGCGCATTCATAGAAGGCACTAGAGGTGCCTCGAGATTTTGCATAGTTTGACTCAAAAAAGATTGAGAAACACTTTTCTTTAATGTTACCCTGGAGCTCTGGCTGTCCCTTGCAGTACCTCCTCTTCACCACAAGATGTCCTCACTCTTCCAGGTTGAATGATGCCCAGTGTCATACAACCCGGAAGATTGAAGTGAAGAAAGACTGTGAGTGCAGGGTGTTAGCACCCCACTCCCTTAGCCCTTTACTCACCGTGTATTAATGCAGAGAGCAGTGATGATCACGTCCCTGCGTCATCCAGGTCTGCTCACCTCTGGGAGAAAGTGCATCACTTATTTTTAGGGATGCACCAATACCAGCTTCGTTATTGGTGCTGATACCGAGTATTTGGGCGAGTACGAGTACTCGTCCAAATGCTCTGCTACCAGAACTTCCGGGCAGCGAGTCATTGCGCGCTGCCCGGTTTTCTGATTGGCTGGGAAGCCGCCTCCATGGTTCCTCATCAGCTGTGACAAGGGAGCATGGAGACGGCTTCCCTGCTAATTGGGAAGCGGGGTGGCGAGTCCTTACACGCCGCCTGGATTCCTTAATGGGACTTCCGTATCGGTATTCGGTACCGGCAAGCACCGGAAAAAAATATCGGTACTCGTACTCCATGCCAAAAAAAACGTATTGGTGCATCCCTAGATATTTTAGATATGCTAGTCCAGTGCACTTGATTCTATATTTATAAGCTGCTATTAAATCTAAGGGTCTTCCTTTTCTATAACCATGCAAACAATCTGGATGCACCTTTCTAGATGTGCAATGCCCACCGCCAATCAGATTAAACTCCCAATGCGGTACATTAAACCTGGAGACTTTTGCAGGGGATGCCTGTATTTTAGCCTTAGGCTCTGTAAAGGTTTATGGGACAAGCAGTTAGCCAATAGCAGGAGCATGGGGATAAGGATACAAAGTTTGGATGGTTGACATTTGAGTTTTTTGGGTTGTTTTTTTTGCTGTAGCTACTAAAAAAATGGCAGACCACAGTCAGGACCAAATATTTATTATACAATAATAAAAACACCATTCAATTACAGAATAGCTTGTAGAGCAATTATAAATTATACTGTATATCAACTACTTAAAGCAAAAAACAAGTAGGCCGATATAAAATGCTCAGATTACACCCATAAATGTATTTTCTATTAGCACCTCAAATGGTCTTCATAATATCCGCCAGCAGTTAAAGAAGAACTCCGAGCAAATTAAATCCTAACCCTTGCATTGGGGATACCCCGGCACTGTGAGGTTAAGTGCTTGTTTTGTCTAAAGGAACTAAAACTAGAAAGAAATTCTCACCCGAACCTCAATCCTGCCTGGCTGCCACACTGGTCCCTGCAGCCTTGACCCCCCTCCGCTCTGGTGCTCTAAGGTCCAGTGAGTCACCACGTACAATACAGCGTATTGGACGTGAGGGTGCAGAGGGACATTACACTGTAGGGGGAGGGGGGGCTGCAGAGACTAGGCTAGCAACCAGGCAGGATCAATTTTATCTTTGTTATTTTAGACCCTAGACCAAAACCAGCACTTAACCCTTGCACAGTGTTTCTACAGGAAACTGGCTGATAGGAGGAGAGAGCATAGAGGGGACCTCGGCAGTGTGTTGCTGCTCCTTCTCTATCCAATCACAGGCTGGGGCGGTCCTTGACCAAGCTTCATTCATTCAGACAATTTTGGTCAGGTGCTGGCTGTGTTGTCTAATGGGGACGACTGGATTAGAAAACTGGATGAGCAAAATGGCAAATACTGTGCCAGGTAAGGCAGCTGGCACGATGAATGTAGCTGTGTGCCTTCATTTCCACTTTACCTGCTACGTCCATCTAATATTTATCATGGTGTTCTTCTTTTGCACCCAGATGCCTGCTTGGTAAAGTGTAGTTTTGGATCGAGTAGATAAGGATTTTCCTGCTATACGTGTCCTGCTAGAGAGATTTCCCTTAATTTCCTGTTTTAGACATCCAACAGGAAGTGAGAGGAAATCGCCCCAATGTAAAGGGAATGCCAGAACATTTGTCCCCTTTGGAAGATCTCCCCTCACCTCTCGCAACAATTCTAAAATGTAGTATTTCTCATCACTTCCTGTCTCAGTGATAACGGTCATCAGGACAAATAGAGGGGCGAATCTCCCCAACGTGGACAAAGACTGCAAAAGTAACTTGACAGATGGACCAACTCTTCCCTATCCCAGCCATTCCTGATCTTTATACCATGGAGGAACCCTTGAAATCCTTTTCAGTTCTCAAGGAACCGTTAGTAGAAATTATTATATCTACAGCTCACAGTACATCAGTTGTTCATAGATATAATGTGGCGTACGTAGCATATCTGACTCCTAAGATGGATACTTTTTTAATCACCTCTCCCCAAAATTATTTTCAGTAATAACCATGAAACATATAATAACTATAAGGGCCAGTTAAGAAATGCTGATAGTGTAAATTGTGGTGCCCCTGTTACATCGGTGTTCAGTGGGAAAGGTATTCCCCCTTACATTGGTGGTCAGTGGGAAAAGAATTCCCCCCTTACGCTGGTGGTCAGTGGGAAAATAATTCCTCCCTTACGCTGGTGGTCAGTGGGAAACTAATTCCCCCCTTACATTGGTGGTCAGTGGAAAAATAATTCCTCCCTTACGTTGGTGGTCAGTGGGAAGAGAATTCCCCCCCTTACGCTGGTGGTCAGTGGGAAAAGAATTCCTCCCTTACATTTGTGGTCAGTGGAGAAGACAGCTAAGAAGAACATTGAATCAATAGTTACTTCCGTTAGAGACTCGAGGAGATGCTCCAATGGTCTCACATTGCTGGCTCTGACGATAGATACGGTGCTAGAACAAGATCTCTTTCCAGGCAAGAGATCAATGTGACACTGCTCAAGGAACTCCTGCCATCCTCTGGAGGAACCATTGGGTTCCATAGAACTCTGGTTGAGAATGGCTGCTCTATCCTACACTTAAAATCTCTATGGATGCCAGTTTTCGTATGTTCTAAACCCATGGGTGCTGAAAAGCCAGCCAAGGGTTCCCTGGTTTGAGCTACACTCTCCCTTAGACCACACACATGGTAGCATCTGCATGATACTGCAGTCTTTCCTAGAATCCCTACAAAAAAAACATGTTGCAATGCATTGTATCAAACTATACAGGAAAACAAAGTAGACTTCCCAACCAGCTCCTGTTTAGCATTTTCCTGGATAATGTTGACATTTCACAGACCCTCTTCACTTCTTGCTTCGTATTGCACTTTAAGATATACCATATATAAAAAGCACACAGAAACAGAAACATAGTAGAAAAATAAATGTACAATATTTAATATAAAACAATAAGATGGCCGTCGAATATCTCAGTCTTCACAAGATGCCTCTATGGTGTGAAAAATGAAACATAAAGTCGGAATTCTCTGGAACGTGCCTCGTTTAAAGAGTCAACAGCAAAGGCGGTGGCAGCCCACAAATCACTCATTTACAGAGACTTTCTTTGTGTGTGGAATCGGGAGACTGTTAAGGTTTGCCAGGGCAGCTAGATGTGACAGACGCCTCTATAATAAAAAGAGAAAAGAGAGTGAAGACGTGGGAGGTGACCAGAGAGAATGCTTCCATATTGACATTAACAATGTAGAACATGATGGTAAGAGGATGCAATATTAAATGATACTCATAACAAATTCTTGAAGATATGGCAACAATGGATGACCTACTGTGGCCTACAAAGACCTAACGTTCTACCCTTGACTTCGTTACCGTACTCCAAACCTGTTCTGATGAGAGGTGATGGCATGCAGCTCCCAGACCCTTTTCTACTCCTCTCTCTTTTCCCTGTTTGTCCTCATTTTCCTCTCCTTCCCCTCTCCATCCTCCCACCCCTATACATTTTTTTATCACACCCACCATTAATTCCCAATGGCATATCTACAAAGCTTCAATTTCTATTGTCAAGCTTAATTTTCAAGTGATGGTTTTGACCATTACCCATGAGAAACGTGTCATCTGTCACATGAATTACATAATAGCCTAGTTCAATAATCAAAAGAAACCCATCGCACACCCGACTGGATAAAACCCTCAATTATCGGGTGGGTGCCAAGCGACCACGGATGCCTCCGCAAATCAGTATAAATATGAAGAAGTCACTCGCACTCCAGCTAAAGTTCAGTCCATATTTTATTGATCTCTGTGGTGTCACAAGATGGCGACGTTTCGGAACCCATTGAGTCCCTTCGTCAGGGAAACAAAGAGTTACTGGATCTCCTTTGATGTTCTTGTGCCTTGAACTCAGCTCCTCTTCTTATTCCATAGTCATACAATCATATGGTTTCCCCATTTTTTTTGTAACATGCATTATGTAAACATTGACGCCATTTTTGCCACCTACCATACTCACCTATGTGTACATTTCATATTTATCTTAAACCAATTCAAACTTTGTAAAAGAAAACAAAAAAAAAAAGCCAGGAAAGACTAAAATGAAAAACATACCCGCCGGTTTTGAATGGAAATGCCCATGATCAGCACCAGGCCCACGATCATAAGAAGGCACAGCAGCAAGACGATGTAGGTCTGCCATGATGAGAAGGAACCAAGCTCACCAGTCAGGGCAGCTGGAATAGAAAAAAAACTTACAATAAGCTGACAAATAAAGGAACTCTGCTAAGCATTGTTTGCATTCAATATCACACATTACAAATCCTTGGTGTATTTACTGTCTCTTTAATGAGAATATAGAGTTCTTTTGCAAACCTTTTCTTTCTCATCACCACCACGGGGGCATGCAGTACTCGGTCCTGCTACCTTATGAGTGCTCCATCCATCGTGCTTGGTGAGTATTGAACTGGCTCTGCAAGAGAAGTGCTGGAAGAGTATGCTTTGCACAGCACTCTACTACATTAGAATGAATGTGGACTGCTTCATTCATGGTTGCCAATTATGTGGTCTTAAGGGGAACACCTTGCTGAGGTGGACATGGCACAGCACAGGCCCTGATTTTTTTTAATCTCCTTTTAGCAACCGTGTACATGAAGCCCTAAGGGCTAAACTACATAAGTGATACTAATCTCATGCTACAGAGTTAGAGGTACCTGGCAGGGGAAGACAAGATGGTGGTAGGAGAAGTCAGAAAGGGAACAGAAAATGGAGTCAGGCAGAGGAACATGTGGATTACAATAATCTATGAAGTCAGGATAAGTGTAATGTAATGTGATACTTACCATGTACATAGAGCCAGTGTTCAGCTTCTCCCAGAATCCCATTCTTCCCATGCACAGAGCAGACCCAGGTCCCAGAGTCCTCTCTGTGGATGGCAGGTAGGGTCAGTACGGCTCCTTTTCTCCTATTGTGACGCTCAGTGGAGTTTGGAGGTCCTCTCCATTCATAACGCTCGCCGTCAGCAGCACCAGTGACGTTACAGGTTAGTGTCAGGGAAGAGCCCTCTTTGGCAAAGGTCGGTCCTGAAGGAAACACTGCAGGGAACAGAGAAGGATCTCGTTCGGATTATTGCACATAATGTAGGAGTTATTTTCAAGTAAAAAAATTAAATCATTATATTCAACTGAGTCCAGTGAGATTTTAAGATTACAGTCACGTGACTAAAAGTAAGATCCTCATCCTTGTGGTAACGCTTTGTGAATTGGGCCTATCGCATGGGACATAAACTATTTTATTGAATAAGGTAGACATGAGCAAGATCGAAAACCTTCTCTACCTTTTTTTTTCATACTGTAACTATGCTGTGAAATATTATCATAATTCCTGACTGTTTCTGTCCTCTTGGGAGTTTTAGTTGTTCCCGTCCACCTTCGGGTGTTTCAGTTCCTCCTGTTATATTCTCCGTAATATAAGAATTTTAAAAAAACGTCAGGGATGGTGAGAGTTTTTCATAATGGCCACAGCTGTTGTGTGGAATAGGTGTCCCCATTGGAAGATTTCCTCTTACCTCCTGTTCCAGTGATAATACAAAAATGTTGCATTTCCCATCGCTTACTGCCTTAAAGACAACAGTCACCAGGACAAATAGGAGGGGGGATGTCCCCAGTAACAGAGGGAGTGAGTAGAAGGGACTGGCAATGGTGTCACAAGGGGGTGCGGCCTGCACTAGGTGACATCATCGGGAGGGGCGACACCAAAATGACTGAGGGTCATTTTGGTATCGTCCCCTTTTAAAAGTTGGGCCCCCGGTCATGAACCAAGAGCCTAAGAGAGAGGGGGGACCCGGTGGCATACCTGATCCCGCCGGGTCAATATCCCCTCCTCTCTTTACCAAGATGGCTGCCGGCAGTGAAGTACATCACTGTGCATGCCTGATGACGTCACACCACGGACATCAGAAGGACGCACCGGGTGACACCCATCCTGGTGCCACCACTGGGGACTGGATCCACTACTAAAGTGGAATCTGTTACTTGTTCTCAATAGATCTGGTTAGGCAACTCTTAAAGCCCATCTCCGGGCAATCAAAAATTTTTAATAATTAGCACTTAACCCTTGCAGTGCTGGGGGGAGCCCCACTGCTAGGGTACCTTTTTGTTTGCCCAGATATAGGCTTTTAAGGGGTCTTGATCCCACGGCATTGGTTATACTCATACAAAAAGAGCTGACAACGGCTTCTCTGTAAGCAAAGCCCGAAGACAAACACTGTGTCCATACTTTGGTCACAAACACATTGTAACAATATTATTGTTACAATTTATTTTTTAAGTTATTTACTTTATATGCCGATTAAAGGAATTCCTTGTGAAAAGCACCTTCAGCAAGAACTAAGCCAAAGGAAAGAATGTGTCTTACCAACAGAGTCCAGAAATATTTATCTCATCATTAAAAAAAAAACCAGGGCAACAAAATAATGCAGTTTGGGGGTTGAAAGGCTTTTCTAATATCCAGCTGCTAAACCTTTCTTCAGAAGATATGAGAGTTTTACTCCTAAACCCACTAATTCTTCATCTCAGTCCGGTATTTAAGCCTTGATGAAGAGAGAACTTTGCAACCCCAGAAATGCTTGCAGTGCTCTTATCTCCTCCAACTTCAGCAATAAAAACGTCCCTATTCCACCCAAAGCATTTTGGCTATAGATACACTTTAATGGGAAAACCAGTTAGCATCAAGTAACATTACTGACCTTGGATGACCTTTAGGGTGATGTGCCTGGTCATCAGCTGACTCCTGTAGGTGATGTCACATCTGTATGTTGCAGCATCCTCTGGGGTCACATGGCTGAGTGTCAGAACCTGGTTGTCACCTCTGACGGAGCCGGTGGCTTTGCTCCAATGGACACTCAGTGACTCTTCTGCAGGGACTTCAGAGACATTACAGGGGAGCTCTACCTGAGAGCCAACGGCGGCGTACAGAGAGAGATGGGGCGGCCCCGACATACCTGGTGGAGGCAAACACAACTTACTTAGCTACAAGCTAATAAAAGACAAGAGGAGGGGGTCTAAGGAATCCCAAAAGCTTTAATAACCAATAGCCATTTAAGGGTATCGCTTAAAGAAGAACTCCAGGCAGAATAAAACGTAACCCTTGCAGTGGGGCTACCCCAGCACTGCAAGAGTTAACTGCTCGTTTTGGTCTACAGTCTAAAATAACGAAGATATACTGTATATATATATATATATAGAATACACAACATGTTTTAATCAAAAATTGTGGTGTGGCTTTTTTTATTCTGGTCTCTCTGCAAGTGACCGGAGCCAGCCGTAAGATGACGGCTGGCTCCGTCCAGCTGTCAGAATCAGGCTGTTGGCCGGCCAATGGCCTGCCGCTCGGCCAGCTTTGGCTTTCAGTGCGGCTCAGCTGAGCCGAGGCATATGCGTTCGGCTCGACTGATCCGCTCTGCCAAGTTCGGGAGCTGTACGGGCTATAGTGAATAGCCCGTACAGCAGCCCTTCGGTTCTACTGAACCAAAGGGGTCCTGGGGCCGAAGCTAGCTGAAGGATCGGTCGAAGCTACGGCTAGATCCTTCGGCTGCTTTGTGAATAGACCCCATTGGAATTTCTTAGGCACATTTAAAGTGGAGTATTTCATAAGATTCTGAAAAGTAATGAATCACAGAGGTCTATATTAGCATTATCAAAGCACATTATTGTACAAAAAACTGCTGTTCCTGACCCAAAGCCTTAGTAAACTAGATCACATGGTCCCTGGCTATCATGGAGAATGTTTCATGTCATTAAGGATTGCAGAGAGTCAATAGCCTTCAGTCATAAAGATATTGGGGGGATTTATCAAAACTGGAGCAGACAAAATCTGGAGCAGATTTGCACGGCAACCAATCAGCTTCTATGTCTCATTTCCAAATCTTACCTGAGCAAACTGAAGAGAGACGCGGATTGGTTGCCATGGGCAACTGCTCCAGATTCTGTCTGCTCCAGTTTTGATAAATTCCCTCCATTGCCTTTAAGACTTGCATCAAAATAGAAGGCTCAGCATTGTGCAGCAATAGTAGTGACTTCGCTGGCTGCATACTTGTTCTGCATCAGCAGTTTACAGAGTACTGAAGCCACATTCAGCCCGGGAACTATAGACTATATACATAAGAATGAGTCTCAATTTCTATTTAATTGCCACATTTTCATACTTTGTCTGGAATGCGCCTTTCAGCCGGAAATAAATTCTGCATCACTTACTGAGGACTCTGAGCGTCAGGCTGGCCCTCACACCGTCCACTTCACAGGTCCACTCGCCGTGGTCATCCTGAGTGAGCTTTCGGACGTACAGAGTGGGCCCGGCTTTTGAAATCCTATTGGATGCAGAGATTGGGACCCCGCCGCGGAACCAGTGATAAGAGTACATAGATTTATGGGGGCCAATGACAGCACACGTGAGGTTAACAGCGCCATTCTCGGGAAGAAGACCGGGCAGGGATTGGGTGACTGCAAGAGAAGAAAAGACGGCTCAAGACAAAAGAACAAACATTTGCATATTGGCAACATTATCATAGATTTAAAGTGACGCTAAACTCCGGAGATAAACCTTACAAATACATTCAAGAACCTTAACTATTAACAGCAATGGGGAGGATTTATCAAAACTAGAGCAGACACAAACTGGAGCAGATTTTCCCTGCAGCCGATCAGCATCTCTCTCTCATTTTCAAACCTCACCTGAGAAAACTGTAGAGAGATGCTGATGGGTTGCCATGGGCAACTGCTCCAGATTCTCTCTGCTCCAGTTTTGATAAATTCCCCCTAATGTATCCTATTGGTGTATCACTCGGCTGTAGATCCTCCAATCATCTCTGAATTGGTGCCGACACTGTCCTTCCTTCTGGAGGGGGGCTACTTTTCTTCCCCATGGTCCCTGTGTGTGTTGTAAAGTTGTCACCGCTCCAAGTTCCCCCCCGGGATGGACTACAATCTCAGGTTTAGTTTACTAATTTGTATTGAGATTGTAGTCCATCCCGGGAGTGAGCTCGGAGCGGTGACAACTTTACATAGCGCAAACATCGGGGCATTTTGACAAGTACAAATACTTATGAAAATGCCCTGTTTTTTCCGCCCTCACCCTGCAGCGCCGTAAGGCGGCCGCCTGACTTGCCTTGCGGTAGCGCCGGGCCTGACTGTAGTGACACAAAAAAAAAATGAAAGGAGCAGAGTGAACAAAATTCTAACAGTGAATGTTGTTTTTCGTTCAGGAAACTCCATTCATTTCCAAAATCCAATGTTAAATTCCAGTGAAGTTTTGAGATGAAGATGTATCTCTGATGTGATTATCAAATGTTGTGACGAGATGTTTCGTATGGAGGTAAGTACACACATGCAGCAGTGTATGTCCAGCTTTAGCAGTGCAGATGTATTGCCCTCTGAACTTCTTGTAAGTTCAGAGGGCAATAAATAATTCTTCTATCAGAGTACGGCCTAAAGCCGGCCGTACACTGATAGAACTGCATAGGAACATTCGTACAATTAAATCTCATCAGAACATTTGATGTTCATAACACCAGAGACTTGAAAGATGTCAGGCAACATTGCGTTTGGTTTTGGAATGAATGGAGTTTCCTGAACGAAAACCACATTCACTGTTAGAATTTTGTTCCTTTGAGAAACAATTTCCATCCTGCTCTTTTCATTTTTTTATTGTCTTTACAGTCAAAAACGATCATCGATTCGATGCCATTAACTATTAGGAAAAGCAAAGAACGTTCTGAATTTCTGAACAAGATTCTACTGGTGTGTGGCCAGATTACTGCATTCGTGAGTCCCAGATTTTCTCTTCTGCTAAAACCTTAAAGGACAACTGATTGCTGACGGTTCTTCTGCTGCCTGTCCTTGATATAGGGATATTGTATGTTAAAATCAATGACAGTGCGGGCTGTTACAGAGAGAGTTAGCTGAAGGGCCCCATCAAAATTTTGCTCTAGGGGCTCGATGATTTGTATTTACGCTCCCTGCCCATTCCATAGTCATACACATGCAATGGACACATTTTGG